TCTAAGAGGCTGGGAGTTGGAGTAGGGGCAGAGAAGTTCAGGAATATGCCTGTATTCAAAGAAGAACTCTAATTAAATTAAAAACGATGCCATTTGCTTTATATGCCCTTGAAAAAGACGAACCCATCTCTGTCATGTGTAATATGTTGATGTTATTAAATGTCAAGTCACTGATCATGTGACTAGGGCCCATCATAGCAGTGTTCACTGGGGCCCATTGTAACTACCTTATGCCACTGCTCTCCATTCTTAAAATATACTGAGACCTTCATCACTGATGGCCGTTGTAACTGCTGCAGATGCATGTTGGTGATTCAGTTATTGTACAGGACTGACAGTGGATGTGTTAAAAGGGGAAGGGGTTCACTGAGGCTGCGCATACGGTACAGGGCCCAGAGTTTTGTGTGACGTCACACCACTGACTGTCGTCATTTGTTCAGAAGCTCAGTTTCTTTTTGTTGCCGTCCATGTTGCTGCTTCTTGAACAAAACAGTCAATTCATATTGACATGAAGATGAGAGCTCCTTCAAACATCAGTCTGTTCAGAGACAGATGAGTGAAGCTGCAGTCCTACAGATCTGGTGATGTTCTGCTGTGCGTTGTGTGTTTCTTCTTCTTCACAGGATGATGTAACTTGATTTGAGAGCAGAAACAGAAAGAGTGGGGGTTTTTTTATGAGTGAGAGAAACACAGTTGCAGCTTTTCTATTTTTGTCCTCCATTTGTGCTCCACTTGCGTCAGGGATGCAGTGAAGCTGTGTGGGAGGCGGACCTGAAGAATAAAGCTGCCGCCCACGAAGACGAGCTCATTCACACTAACAGTGTTTCAGTCTCAGATTCAGACTGCAACACTGTGGTGAGATAACTCATAGCTCCTCTTCTTTCAGACATGTACAGTTTTTGTACTGACAGAGGACGAGTGTCACTCAGAGATGCTTCAATCTCTGCACACGTCTCTTAAAATAAACTCCCTGAAACTGATGATTTCAAAGCCTCGCTCCTCCTCTGCTTTGTTAGCTTGAGGTCCAGCTCCTTTAGATATTCTTTAAGTGATTTAACACCTGAGTCATTCATTTTAAGGGCTTAGAACATGCAAAATAAAACCTTAATATGGCACATGTAATGGTCTTTTTAATGTAGTAAATGATGGTATTTTAATGCTTCTACCAAGACAATTAAAACTTGATGCTAAATGATTTTCAGTTATCTAAACTGCAGGTTTTTAAACTTACTTATGGCACAGATATGAGGTTTATTAGGGGATAAAATAACAAGTCAAGACAATGAAAGCGTTCATGTGAGCAGAGAAAGTGACATGAATTGAAATAACATCAACCAGAGTGACTAAGCAATCTACTGCTATGGATAAATGTAATTTAGTCACCTAAACAATCAATATCAGTTTAACTGTACGACATATTGACAGTATTTTCACTGCTTTACCTTTCTGTCCGACGGCCTGTTTCAACGGGGAACAGCTTCGGTTCCTCTACGCTGCTGAAAGTGTCTGCGACTGTGAGACGGTAAAATGTCAGTGGCGTGAGATGTAAATGATGCTGTGAAATCTTGCAATGGAAAATGTAGAAATATTGACCTATGGCTAAGTCCCGCCCTCAAACACGATGAGCCAATCACAGTGCGTATAGCCATTCCCATACACTTGGACATTCTCTGCCTGGACGTCCATTGAAATGCATTACAGAAAGTCAGTTTTGTTAGGTTTTTAAGAGCTTTTTCAGAGATTTGAAGTTATGGTCAAAAGGTGTGCATGGGGTACATGCAACTCTGACACAAGGTATCCTGAGAGGCTGGGCGACCAGGTGTATTTTTTACACTTTAAACCACATCTCAACCGAGAAAAGTGTCTCCTTTGGATAAAGTTGTGTGGTAACGTTAGACCACAACATCAACTCAACGTGAATAAGATTAACAATGATGTCTACATCTGTTCTAAGGTAAGTCAACATTGTGTTTGAGGCAACATATTGTCACTTTGCTGGAAAGAAATATAAAGTTATCTTTAACATCTCTAGCTAACGTTAGCTAAAGTTAGCCTAACGTTAGCTCCTAGCTGCGTTGTTCATCATGTCACCTTGTTTGCTGGGAGTTCATTAGCCTATTTTGTTCTAGTTTTGTACTTTGGTGATCGTACATCATTGTTACCTGTTGTCCAAAGGGCTCTAGTTAAGCTAACGTTAACTTCTGGAGCTTAGCTTCATTAACTTATCTGTAATGGCAGAGATAACAAAGGTTGGCAAACGTTATGCTGAATGATTCAGTGTAAATACTGTAGCACCAAACTAACGGAGAGACAATCTTGGTAAAGATGGTAAAAAGGCCGTTATCCTTTTCTCATATTCTGAGCCAAAAACCTTAACTTCAGTGGCACTTTAACTTGTTGTCTTTGATGGTGACGGCAACCAGATGCGGTTCACAAGCGTAAACTGTGACCTGTAAATTTTGGCTTGTAATTTAAGCTTTTCATTGACCTTCTCAACAATAAAATGATGAATATATCCCTCCAATGCGAAGTTTAGGCCCTTTTGGTTACTTCTCAATGACATCTGATTATGTTTCCAAAAATCATCAATTGCCTCCTGTGAAATGCCGAGTACTGTGACACCTGCCATAGCGGCGGTCACTCAATGTTGATTGTTTGTCCGAGTGAGTGGAAGGGGGCGTGGCTTAGCCATAGGTCAATTGTATCTAAGAATTCACTGTCAGCTGAGACTTGCATAATGTGCAGGTATCAATGGTCTATATGTGACATTAGTACAGAGTATTTGTTGCTGTTTAGTTGTGTGATGATGAAACTGCCTCTGAATATGTCTCATAAACACTTTAAAGTAACACCAGACTGTTTGTGCTGCTGAAGTAAAGAGTGGAGAAATAGTTAATGACTGATGACGTCTGTCTGACCCAAATGTGTCATTTATAATAACAGGAGCCAATTAAGAGTGTGTGGATTATTTTAGTAATAAAATATGATCTTGTTCTCATCACACAGGTGTCTCATGTTATTCTGAGCTGCAGTGATGAATCAGAGTGTCAAATATCAACACTGTCACTGCGACTGAAATAAACTTTGCATCAGTTAAAATCACGTGTTTAGTGTGTAAACGATCTCTCCGTGTGTTAGAAGCTCTGATTAAAACCAGTGGAAACAACGAAATGATTCTAACAGCATACAGGCTCCTCTTTGTTACCTGCAGACTTTAGTTCATGGATACTTCTTTCTTCAGGGATCTGACTGGTCAGAGGTCGGGGTGGTGCTGCTCCGGAGCAGGTTAGCTGTTCAGCATCAGTTACCACGGTGATTCATCCCAGTAAAAAGAGAACCAGCTTCATAGTACTGAAAACAGAGTTAACCCTGAAGTTACCTCATTAACTCCAAATCCTGCCTCATAGTTCAGACCTCAAGTTTGTCATCAGCAAACTAAACAGCAAAAAATACTCTCTACTAATGTCACATGTAACATCATGATGCATGTAATCTAAGACTCAGCTGACGGTGTATTTTTGGCTCGTATTTTTAATGTTTCTACATTTTCCATTATAAGATCACAGAGTATCGTTTACATCCCACATTGCTGACATTTTGCTGTTTTGCAGCCTCAGACTCGTAATTAACACATGAACACGCTCGTGGCTGATAGGAAAACCCAGAGTTGACTGAACTAGTTCATAACCAGCTCTGTAGCAGCAGTTATCCAGACGGCTGATGTGACGGGTTAGTCAAACAAGATAATGAAAAGATTTCCTGGGTAAGTTGAACTGGCTCCGTAGTTCAGGCCTCAGATCTACTGCTGTTAAGTTTGTGGGTGTCATTGTGTAATTTTGGTGAATCCAAACTAACCCAAAGTCACACAATCACACAAACCAACTAATTGAAGCAGCAGTAGACCAGCAGCTCCTGTGTTCAGCGATGTTAAATCACTGTCTTTCTCAGTGGAGTCTGGTTTTGAAGAGGGTGATAACAGCTTAAATTTCCTGTTGGAAATCACCAAATACTCTCAGTATAGCATAGTAAACTGATATTGATTTTTTTACGTGGCTGAAATACGTTTTGTTGCTGACCCCTGCACAGCAGGGTGTTGCTTTGCTTCCATGTTGGATTCCTGCTGCTTCTCTCACTGGAGGCCAGCAGAATTTCATCTGTTTGTAATATACTGTCTCTGGATAACTTGCCCGTCTCAAAAGATCTGAACTGTCCCTTTAAAGTCATTTCTGAAGCAAAAACAGCACAAACTCACTGCTTCCAATTTCTCTGATGAGAGGACTGCTGCTTTTCTTTCATAGCTTTCTAAACTGATTTTGGTTTCTTTCTTTCTTTCTTTCTTTAGGACTTGTGATGGACACTTTAACTAGTTTGACTTAAATATTAATAGAAAAAAAATCTTGAGTCTTTTCCCTTTGACTTTCTGTCCTTGTTTTTATTTACAGCACATAATGTTTTCCCCTGTCTGCAGTGTGCTGTATAAGTAAGTGTTCCTCGTGAAAATAATGTTTAGTTTCCTTAAAAAAATCCTCCTGTGTGACTGTTTATATCCTCAGAGAGACACAGATCTTTACACTCAATTAACTACACGATTATCGGAGGTCGAACATCCACCCAGAGACCCAAAACATGTCGTCAGTTGCCCCGTCAGCTCCATCTGATGCTGCTGAGACGGATGACGACACACACTCTCAGTAACCCAGCAGCAACAGCAGAGGGAGCCGCCATAAACAATGTGTAGGACCTTGACTGGCTCACGGCTCAGGCCACTGGAGCAAAACATGTTTTTCACCGCTGGTGTCATGTCTGCCTGCTGAGATCCAGCGAGGGGGGGAGGGGGTATTTATAGGCTGATAATGAGCATGTGTCCTTCAAGACCACGTTGTCCACACTCACAGGCCCAGAGGAAGCAGCAGGGGGACACATTTCCATATGTAGGACAAACTCCTGACAAAACAAGTGAGAGAAGTTTCCAGAAAGGCCACCAATAAAACTCTACAGAGGTTTGGAAAAACAAAAAGGAGTTTATTAAGACAACAACAACAACAAAAAAGGCCCTGAATACTCAGGAACATTATCAGAGACTTCGTTACGAAGCAGTCGTGGTGATTTTTCTTTACACAGAGAAGAAACAAATACAAAAAAAACCCAAACAGAACTCCCCGTCGGAATTCCAAAAAGGTGAAAGCACCACAAGTGTTGTCATGTGACGGCCGACCTTTTCCCCCAAACGTTACAAACAAACAGTTACACATCACCCAAAGCCCTGTGGGAAAGGGCGTGTTTTCTCTTCTTTCCCAGGCCCCCACTTCTCCTCCACATGTTTGATGTCCATGTTTCCCTTCGAAAAAAAAAAAAAAATCTGGAAGAGAAATGTGGAGCTGCTGACAGAGACGCAGTGTGGTGTCCTTTTTAAATATAAACCAGCTTTTCTGAGGCTCATGTCACTGATTAGTCTGGCTGAGGTTGAGTGAACCAGTGAAATGAGCAGTTAAAGGACGACACACTGAACAACGTGAAATGACATGAGGATGAGGAGGGGGCACTTCCTTTCTTTTCTCAGCAGAGCAGCTATTTACACCCAGCACTAGACTGTAAACAAAATGGACAACTAAGGGACTGTTCCTTATTTATGAGGGGAGGGGCATGGTGAAAAAAAAGGTTGGCTTAGAGGGCACACAGATTTCAATGGCTGCATTTTGCATTTACTCTACCACTGATTTCTTTTTTATAGAAAACAGGCCTCTGGAAGGCAGGTGTTCTTTAACAAATCTCCAAGATTACACCATTTATCATAACCAGAAGCTGTGAAAACAGAAATTATCATTGGAATTTTAAATTTCTACAACCAAATCTGTGCTTTAAATAGTAATATTTCATCAAAGTCACCATCAGAAACCTTTTGCAGGAACTAACCAGCAGGGGCGTATAAGCAGATTGTGGGCCCCTGGGTGAGATATGCAAAAGGCCCCTTCACCTGTCCTACAAAGGAGCGGGACAAACATGCTTTGACAGTTGTTTAGCTTAATGTTTGCCATAGCTTTGCACCTCTTTGTAGCCATTTTGTGCCTCTTGGATGTAATGTTGTGCCTTTTTTGTCATTTTATATCTCTCAGTGGTTGTTGTGTCACTCAGGGAGGCTCAAAACATAATATATAAGGCTTCTGGGAGGGACATAAAAAAGAAAAAACCGTCCCCCGGTAAGTACAGAACAGTCCCTTAAGCACCTACTGCCTTTATAATGGTCTGTCACAGCAGGGAAGAGCTAACCATGAGCAACCCCCCACCCATAAAGCCAGAGCACATGAACAAATTCCGGGATGCAGTGGTAAATAAAACATGAATAAACTACGACTTCCTGCCTCTGCTCACTGTGACTCAAGCTTTCATCAGCCAGGAGAGGAACATCCATTGTTCAGGACTCCATCTTCACAGAGTTACACACAGTAACACTCCGTGTGACGGTTAACATCACTTTACCTCACGGAAGGACCACATCAGCCTTCACAGGGCGACACAAACGTCCTGTCTCGCTAATGTAAAGTCTGATGAAGTGGCGGCTCAGACGTCCGCTGCACCCCGAGCGCCTGAGCCACAAGGAGACATTCAAACATAAACAACACGGCTCATTAGCCGGTGGCTAGCGAGCTAGCTAAGTTAGGCTATCTGCTAGCCGACATAGCGTAACAAACGTTACACACAAAATCGATGAAAATGGGTGAAATTAGAAAACATAGCTACCAGTCCTGTGAAATTTAATTCTAAACAGTCTTTGTGTCCGTCCAGGAGAGGGGGACACACGCTGCGGTGGACACCCCGTCCCCGGTTCGTCCGTTACGTTATCAGCACGGCACATTGTCCGCCGCCTTGGGGAAATCTCCACAGTCTGCGGCGGAGAACTGAAGCCTCCTCACGGCCTCTTTAATCAGGTTCCCCGATAAAATTAACTCCTGCAGCAGCCGGTGCGGATCGTCATCCTCCACGTTGATCCTCTTTTTGTTCCACGGTTTGATTTGGTCCCAGTCCTGGTCGCCGTTAGACCCAGGGATGTTATACGGGCTTGCCCTGCTGCTCCCCCGGTGTCCCCGGTTCCGGAGCCGCATGCAGCAGCCGTGTTTCTGCGCCGGAGCTCCCGCGCTGCCGCTGATGATGGCCGCCGGTTTGACCCCGCCGGTGCTGCTGCCGGTGAGCCCGTGCAGGCAGGACATGGACACGGACACAGTCTTCTGGTGGCCGCCGCTATTGTTGTGGAGCTGCAGCGCCTCGCCGATTTTCGTCACCAGCGCGTCCACTTCTTTGGAGCCGACGGTGACGGACTGTTCCAGAAAGATGTAGTTCTCCTTCCGACACGGCATGATGGCGGATATTGAATCGGTGTACTGGGAGTTTATATTTCAGAGTGTTTCTGTTTGTGTCGGTGTGAATGAGAGCCGCCGGGGTGCTCCTCGCTCTCACCACGCCGCTCGGTACTAACCAACAACCCGAGTTGATTTGTAAACAATGGATGACGTGTTGTGGACTGTACCATGTTCTCTGTCAGGGGGAGGGGTGTTTTTAAAACCAAAATAAATCACACAGCCAAAGACGATTCACGCTACGATTCACCAGGCGAACACGTTGTTATAACACAAATATATTTACAAATTAGCACCACTAAAAGTGAACTAAAACGCCATTTGCCGCGATTTTACCGGTGATCCGATTTCCCGCCTCAACCCGACCACGCCGCGGCTTTGGACTGCTCCCTTCAAATGGACATTACATAACTCCTAACTGTCTGCTGCTGCTGTCTGTCCAGGCAAAACACACAAAGCGGGATTTCATTATGTTAAATATTCACGTTGGATCTAAACGCAACCTCCCACTTTTATTAGAGCACCCATACATGCTCCTGTATGCGCGAGCACGTGTTGAAAACCATCACAGTATGTTATGTAAGCTCCCATCAAACCCAGTGTTGCACCAAATTCTGTGACCCCCAAGCAGGAATTTCATCCATTGCCACGTCAAATATGTTTTATTTTAATAGCTGCTGCAGCCAAAAATGGTGTCTCCTGGCGTTAGGAGGGCTCTGATAGCCGTGAAGACAAAAATGACGCCCACAGATATGTAAATAATCACAAACTCATCAGCAGTGGCAGCAGGATCCATGCAGTATTTACACATAAACCTAGTTTTGGTCTTGTTCATGTAGTTACAGAATCTGGTGGGTCACATATTCTTCATATTACCAGAGTCACAGCTAATAAAATGTGTGTCCCCTCTATGTATATAAACACAGTATGTGATAAAGGATGAGAAAACATTTGTAGCATCTGAAGAATCTGGTGTAACACACATATAATGGTGATTTATTTGTCTAAACAAAAACTGTAGTGGTACAGTTGAAACAGTTGGCAGTGAGTGTGATGTGTAAATGTGTAACACCAGCGCACACACACACACACACACTGACAATAGGAGTGGAGGGAGGGTGTGTGTCTGTGGGAGAACACAGTGTACATTTCTGTTTCTGAGAAACAGCAGCCGGGCTAAACCTGATGCTCCAGTCAAAGAGAGAGCCCTCATGACCATACAAGGAGCTACTATCACTGCGCCACGTGGTACATCAGCCAATCAGAGGGCTCGGCTGAGGTTTCCTGTGTGTCTCAATGGCAGCGGCAGGAGTCCAGTCATACTGGAATCCAGTGGGGTTGTGGCAGTTGGGAGTGATACCAGCATGTGAAACCAAGATAAACTGTCATCACTTCCTGACACAGAGAACAACACTCACTTCAATCCCTCTCCAAGTTAAAATAAGCACTTTACAGCATACACATAATTATGTTTAAATACACTGTTTTTATAAATACATTTTATAGTGCTTCTGAGATTGAGATCCAGTTCAAAAGGTCATGTGTAAATATAATATTTCACATTACAGGGGTGTGTTTGGTAGCTGATTTACTTCTGTTTTCTGTCTGGTTGTAAATAAATATTCATGTCATAAATCAAACATGATTTGAATAGCGTCTCTCATAAATGTTAGAGCAGTTTAAATTGCCATAAACGGGACTGAGAAAATAAAAAGATTACTTTTACTGCATGTTGTTCTCTGCTGGCTGCTGTGCTCTGTGTTTGCCACTAATAGAAAATACATACTTAAAGGTCCAAAGATTCAGGGGGAAATCTAGGCAGGAACTGAACATAATATAATATAATATAATAAGTATGTTTTATTTTGTGTATAATCACCTTAAAATAAGAATCTCTGTGTTTCTGTTACCTCAGAATGAGCCCTTTATATCTACATAGGGAACGAGTCCTCATCAACAGAGATCACCATGTTGCACCACCATGTTTCTACAGTAGCCCAGTTTTTCCATTTGCCACTGTAGTAGCAGCCCCTCAGCAATAGCCCCTTTTACACTGCCAGATTTTCTGTGAATGTTGGGCCGTTTTGCCGGCAAGCTGCGAGCGTTTAGACACAACGGGAGGGGCTGTTGAAGACTTGTGGGAGGAGCTGTTGATGATGCTGCACGTGAGACCCACTGGCGGTGGATAAGCAGGAAACAGCTGATAGCAGGAATTAGCGAGCAGCTAGTAGCAAGAGGGAATTTCATTGTATAGGTGTCTGTACTATGACAATAAAAGCTATCTTGAATCTTGAATCTTGAATCTTGAAACGCAAACCTGACAGACACTGTAAAGACGAGCAACTGGGGAGACAAGGAATTGCGCGCCCTCCTTGTCCTCACAAACAAAGAGGTCAGATGACGGGGACTCACTGTTTACATCACACGCTGAGCTACACGTTTTGTTACTTGCTCACGCCCCCCATTGCCCCGAAAAAGGCACATTCTGTATAAACAAAAGTAGGTAGGCGGCATTTTGCTGCACTCCCCGATTTTGTTTTTATACTGCCAATGCTGAAAAAAGACTGATTGGGCTTTCCTGCAAATTTGCACAGTTCCTGTTTAAAAAGGGCTAATGATTGTTTTTTGTTTGTTTGTTTTTACACAAAACTGCTTTACTTAGCATTTTCACTGGTTTAATCAGCTGGTCTGTTTGTTTGGGGTCTGCCCATTTTTCCGACAGCCCATTGGTCCGACAGCCCATTGTTCCGACCATATTAAACTCATTGTTCCAAAGTCCCATTGTTCTGAAATCATCATGATGCCCTGTGGTTAAGGTCTGGTTAGCTTTAGGCACAAAAACCACTTGGTTAGGGTCAGGAAAAGATCATGGTGTGGGTTAAAATGAAAAAGAAAGTGACAAACACATAAGCCGTGAGCCTGCTTCGTCTCAAGCCTTTCCCAGCTGACCCAGAGCCAGTCGCGGCGCACCATCAAGGCAGAAATACGCCCGCCGGCAGCCGTTCAGCACCGTGGAGAGCTCCCCACACAACCCGGACCCCAGAGTTAATAACAGGAGGTTATGGTGTTTCATTCTCTCCTCTCTATGACACTTGTATCTCGAACAGTAGCCTACTTTTGTTGAGTTGCTGATCCTCTATGGTACACAAATACAGTAATAATCACATATCGGAACAACGGGACGTCGGACTAATGAGAGGTCGAAACAATGCTACTGCACCGTTTGTTTAGGAGAGGAACAGACCTCTACAGATAATTTGGTTCCAAGTAAAAACCTCCTAAACATCTGAATCTTAAGTTATCAGAGAAGAAAAGGTGGGCACACACTGGAAGGTGCTAGGCTAATGTCTTGTGTCCAACATGCCAAGCTGTGTCGGAGAAACATTGATTTGTAACATGAAACTGCTTTATTCAGTGTTTGTACAGTTTTTAATCATTAATGTTGGAGAGGAGGAGACTTCAACGGATAATTCGGCTCCTTCCACCTTGTCAGTGGACCTAAACATCAAAATATGACGTGCTAGGTAGCCTTCTGCATCGGTTTTGGACGTTCACAGACAGTTGAATCAAATGATTGTTGTATGCATTGTGTCTTTTCAAACTTTCTATATTCACAGGAAATATATAACTTCTGCTTGTTAAATAGTCGTCAAAATAAACTTACTATGTAGGTAAAACACTTTGTTTTAAGGTTTATTTCTTTAAGTTTAGGCAACAAAAGCACCTGGTTAGGTTCAGAAAAAAATATCATAGTTTAGCTTACTGTGTGTCACGTCACATGAAATACGTCACTATGATATCATGCTACACACACTAGCACACTACTTTGTTATTCAAATAACTCCACTGACTTTTGTTTTCACATGGGAAATGAAAATCAGGTGTTTGTTTGACTCATCCACTTCACCTCCCGCCTGTCCTAAAGTGACTTTCTCGCTCCTCATAACATAGCGGCTGCCCAGTGTGAATCATACCGCCACCAAGACTTTCTCAGTGGGTCGGTGTCTGACGCTGACATCCACTGACAAAGCCAAGCTGGTGTCACTCCGAAGTCCTCGAAATCCAGCGCCTGGGCAGTTACTTGCGGCATGAGACACAGACAATAAAAGCCGTCCTTCAGTGTCGGCATGATATGTGGCTGGTTGCCATTATAGTTTAACGGGGCTCGGTGGCGTCAGGAGGAAACGTAGCAGGACAAGAACAAAAGTTAAGGCAGCAAGAGTCCCACGAGGGCAGGCCGGAGGGGTGGTGGATGGGTCCAACAAACATCGACCTTCACCTGGGAGAGCACTGTAAGATTATAAAGCCAAACCCTGTTCTTTTTTCCTAAACCCAACCGCATGTTTTTGTTCCCTAAATACAACCAAAGCAGCTGTATTTGATGAGTTCAGTTGTTGTTGGCGTCAGAAATAGCTGCTGCCCAATGCAAATCATACTGACAAAGTGGCAGTATTTATGCTACCAAGGTCGAGAAGTCATTAAAGTACTCAGAGGAATGGAAATTTAGACATCTACAGTTGTATAACAACTGATCAAAAATCTATCTGTTGAGGAAGGTGTGATAAAACTGAAAGTTCCAGAGCAGCTGCTTGTGAATTTTGTTGATTTGTGTCTCCAAGGTCAAGACTGAATGTTTAACCTCAGCTATGTTGTCTTTAAGTTTGGAGGACCAGTTGAGATAATTCAGATAACAAAGTGTTACCAGTGTGTGCAGCCATTATCTGCCAAAATAAATACAGTGGAGACTCTTGTGCAACTTTTTCCTATCTACAGGGCGCAGACACAATGAAATTAACACACCACATGTCAGTACAGCTACACCCTCACAGCTGAATGAAAACTTCCCTGGCAAAGTCTGAAGAATGGAAGAACACAAGCATGTGAGCTGCTCTACTTGACTGCACATGTATTGAGGTGTTGCTGTCAGTATGTCCCCGCCCTGTGCAGTGTGTCTGTGTTTTAACAACCTGTGTAGATACATTCCTCACTGAGAGTCCCCAGACTGCACAAGACTAAAATAAAAATGTGTGACTGAGAAATCTGCAAAAACTACTTCACACTGTCCAAGAATATGTAGAGGTCTCTGTGAGACAGTTGAGTCATGTTTTAAACAGCCCTCCTCCCTTCCTGCTGTCCAGTGTGCACTGCTGGATTCTTTGTCTTCCCACCGAGAA